TATCACTCATGTGACTCCAAGATGTCGCTGCCGTATGGCGCCACTACGTTGTGTAAGTCAAAAACATCGCTAAGAGACTACAATGACAAAATGTCTACTTCTTCAGAGGCTTAACCTGAAACGGTAGTCAAGAACTACTCTAGGACTCTGATAGTGAGCTCTATGAATGAAGAAAGCGCACTCTTAATTGTTCCTACTGTCACAGAAATTGTTCAAGATAGCGAAATCTTCTTAATTGGATTAAAGGCATAGTCTTAAATACACGGCTCCCAGAAGCATGTACGGTTTTCTCATTTAGTTCATATCTCTTTTGGCAAGTTTTTTCTCAAGATTCTCAAAGCAGCAGATTGTAGGGTTGGCTTCAGCCTAGATTTACAATATGCAGCGAGCCAACTACTCTTGATTGTAAGATTACGATGAGAATTCCCAAATCAAAGTCATCGCTGCGGTAAGGTGAGCCCAGCAGCTTTAGCCGTATGCACTATTTGAGTAAGGGAACGAAGGTCGCTAGTTTGAGCCGCCTCCGCGGACTACTGCTCCTGGAATGGCATGCAATAACATTGCAAAAGGACCAATTAGCCGCGAAAGGCGGGTCAAACTGGCGGACTTCGTTCCCCTACCTTATGCTCGACGTCCGCACGCTAGCTCTACACCCTAGATTACTCGCCCGCTACCGAAGTGCACCTCGCGTATTTTCGATGCGATCATCCATCAAACAACCCAAGAAACAACGCGCGTCTAATTTGCTAGATTTTCCTGAACTACAATACCAACAAAGGATATACTGAAACCATAAACCATTACGGCTGTTAAAACAAGTACCAACAACAATAACACGGGGCGAGCCACGTCGCCCGTGCTGCCGATGTGCTACAGGCTCAATACATACAAGGGGATTTGGGTTCCTCCATCAGGATCAGCCGATTGAGACCCCATTCAACTGCAATGGTGCACTTCCCAGCTATATAAATCTTTCTCAAACTACTGCGCGTTGGTACACAATCAAAAAGCTCAAACGCTCAACGTAAAATCCGCTTACCATCAAGAAGCTAAACGTTCAACGTCAAATCCGCTTCTGCGGAAACTGCTGAACGATCAATCAAGACAAAAGTGAGAAAGACCCTTATGTACTCCTCCACTTGGCCGCGTTTCCGATCGGAGCGGTCCTGCAGCGACCACATAAGGCGCGACAGGTAATGCGGCATACAGCGCTCCCGGCACCTTGTCCGAGGAGCTGCCCTGCACAGCGGATCGGCGACAGTCACAATAAATTTGCCGTCGTAAAATCATTGAGAACCTAGAACTTGCGTATCTAGCTTTAAGACACGTTGATTTTACCGTTGGAGTTTGTACAATACCGTACGGTTAAGTAATCTGAAGTTTTATAGTACTAGAACCTAGCAAGAGTGTTTTACGATCAGTCTAGGCATTTTCTAGTGTTGGAAAAGGACGAATATAGCCTGATCACTGTAGTTTAGCCGAACGTTCCACTCTGGTACCTTTGCTAAATTCAAAAGATCTCTCTAGTCTTGTAATCTCACCGCTGTTTCCTACCGTAATCTTACGGTAGCGAAGACGTGCTACAAACTAACCCAAAGCCAGCCCTAAAATGTCGTATTAAGGTCAATAGGGACATTTGCTCAAAAAACATGATGATGAAAAAGTGCACACCAATTCTGATGCTGTAGATTAGAAATCAGAAATTTTTGCTGCTAAATGAGGCAGAATCTCAATAACTTCCATAGAAACTTCTATTTATTTTACACGTAAATTAACTTTGTCAACAGTTCCGGATAGAGTTGGAACTGTTGGTGGTACCTGTAAGCAAGCATGCTTACGAATATGAAAGTATTACATTTCATCATTATATTACATTTCTTAGGTTTATTTGAGCTCGAATATATGTGCATCCTTGATGAAATTTTACGGGTATAATAAATAATCAATTGGTGATAATAATATAACTTTACGTAATAATAGTATCAATAAAAGTCATGTCTTTGATACTCTCCGTTTTAGCGGTCCTTACACTCCTTTCAGAGACACAATTTCTATGAATATTTTGGGAGGAAATAATTTTTCGGAAGCTTGAAAATGTTTGAATTGTATACAATATCTATGTCTGATTCATCACGCCTACATAATTTTTCTTTCTTTTATGCACCTATTTACTCTTCAAAAACTCCATCAGTTTCAGCCCACATTCCAATCTATTTTTTCTGCAGATGCCATTGTTTATTTGATTTCTTAAGCTGGAATAGCTCACTTGTTTTTCCAATGCTGATACAGATTCGCGTTTTGATAAAAGATTCCGCCTCCTCTCAAAGAAGCCGCTTCTTGTTGATAGGGTCGGTCCCACCTTGAGTGAGAGTCAATAAAAACGGTGAATTTACTTCATTCTTGTACGCTTGGTCCTGATGTTTGGCTTGTGTCTGGCTTTTATCCAAGCTTTGGTATGAATAACATCGGATCAGCTTTTTTCATAGCTGATCTAGTTTTTACTCTCTTTTTTCTGCAGCCATTTTTTAATCGTCTAAGAGCGAAAAACAATCATATATGTGATCATTGGATATGGGTGGAAGTAAGCTGTCAGCGGACCGTTTTACGACTTGCTTTTTTTCATGATAAGAAAAAAACGCTGAATCAGCTATAGATCGAAGATGTCTGGAACAAACCAGCACTGTGTTCCGTACGATCTTCATCCGCTTCTCAACTCTTCTGTTTACCTTATTCAGCAAAATCATTCTGGTTCATCGCTTGTAGCTATAGTCAAGTAGCACACTTGGTAATGTGTGCAGTTGCGTAACTAGAATCAGGGCCAAAATAGCCACAAATGGTCTCTTGCGCTTGCTTACATATTGATGTACAACCGAGTACCAGGGTACAGTGGTCGTAGTCCATGAAGTTTTTACCTTAAAGGATAGCGCTGCGTTCCTCTATCATCCTGAAAATTGTGCAATTGCAAACGTTAACAAGGACCGCATATCCTGTAAAGGAGCACATTCTCTTCTAAATAAGTAGATGAGCGAATGTACGCTCTTAGATGGGTCGGGTCATTTATCTCCCTAAATGCCAAGCAATTTAGAAGAGATTGCGACAGATTTTTGAGAATGTTTAGTAGTTTTTAAAATAGGCCTCACCCATTTTGAGTTCAAAATATCACAAATTCAAAACCAACACAAGAATCTAGCAAAAATTATTTCTTTCTGCATACGTTTGTCTTCTGTGAAGATATCTTGAATAATTGTATTATAAATATAAAATTCTGTATGACGTCATGAAAATACGTGGGAATAAATGTCTCCAAATTTTTCTTCCTCACTAAACTGTAACCAGTTAATCCCCCTCCCCTCCCCTACATTATCCCTGTGCCGGAATAACAGCCATGAAGCCGCAAACAGTGCTTTCAGAGCTTTCATAAGTTTCGCTAGGTGCCTCTAATAGAAATTATAAAAATTTGAAGATAACTTTCCTTATAAATAGCACCACAAACCAAGCTTAATAATAATGAAGTTATGAAAAACAATCCTTTTTGAAATTTCTCTCTTTCACAAAATTTGGGAAAACGTTGTATTCTAAAAATAAGCGGTGTCCTTAATTCTAGAGAAATTACCGGAAAAAACTGTCAAAGTTACTGAAAGATAACAGCCAAAGATGAAAGTAAAAAGGTGATTAACATAATGTGAAAAGCAATATACGCGTTGTGATAACATAATTTTTGGCTTTTCTCATTTAATTAGTTGATTCCTACGCAAATTGAAAAAAAAACCTGTCTTTTGCTGAAAGACCGCTTTGCAACATTTGATTTCTGTCGTTTTCGGCCCTATAAATTCATTTATGATTATTTTCTGAGGTAAAGCAGCAATTTTCTTTTCAAATGTTTTCCGGAAATAGAGTAAAAAATGTTTCCGCAAACTCATCAAATTCCTCGTTTAACGATTTGTATAAGTGTCTTCTTCCCACAGTGATATCGCAGTCACCGTTTTGATGTCTTTTCTAGGTGAGAACGGCTAAATCAGCCTATCGCTGCCTTTGACCCTTCGCTTTTCTTTTGATTTTTATTTTTTGGCAGTATCAAGCAAAATTCCAACAAATTTGATAATTTGATACTCGGCAAAAAATATAGAACTTGCCCTATCACAAATGCCCAGATAAGCCTATTTTTCCCATTTACACTGAGATATTACTTTGTCATCTCCACTCATAAAAAAGATGGGAAAATGAAAATTTCTGCAATTTCCGCCTAGTAAACCTTTTTCAGTCATTTGTCTATCTCAGGCAGATATGCAATCTGATACTGCTAACATTTCGTTTTTTTTGTTTTATCACTTATTTGTTTTCTAGTACGAGCCACGCCCACTTGATTCCTTCCCCGCCCAGCCAGAGAATGAGGGAAGAAAGTGTGCAAATTGTTTATTTCTCGCTCATTCTTAAGATGCGAAGACTTTTCTAAATGGAGCTAGAAGCTTTGAAAGTGCTAAAAGGACATTATCTAACTAATCCAAAATTAATGTCTAAGACAGTCTGGGCATCCGAGTTTCTCTAGTGGGACTATTTGAAAAGTTTTGTCTGAGCCATAGCCTAAGCGTCAGCTCATATGTTTCATTTGTAGCCAAAAAACTCAACTCTAAACCCTCGCCCATACCGCACTTTTTGCCGTACCCAAAGACTCTGATTGGTCCGCTTGAGAAATTGAAGCTCCTTAATGCAAAAGGCATCATAAGAAATTTTTTTAGCTCAACTGAAAAAGCAAAAAAGTTAAGAAGCTAAAATCTTCAAACATTCTTGCCACTGAGCCAAAAACTCTCACAGCTACGTCTCATCAGCTTAACTTTCGCTTTCCACCGTTATCTTTTTTTCGCGATAATTCCCCCTCCCCCCACCTCTTCAGACTTTTTATGTGCTTCCATCGTTCCACTTCGTATCAACCGCTCTCAAATTTCTGCTTTGATTGTGTTTGTTTATCGGATTGTGCTCACGTCATCTGATTACGCTATTTTAGACGCTTAATACCACTCCATTTGTCGTTTCCACGAAAACGCTGCGTCGCTGAATCTGCGCTCGGCTGCTGCTGTTGGCGTAAGTTTTGAAAAATATTACTGGAATGTGCTTCTAGGCTTAATAGTCATCAAATTTTTATTTCGAAATAATCTAAAGTGAATCATAATGAAGCGTACGGAAGCTACAAGTCTCAGAAATAAACAAAAGTTTCGAAATGATTGAGTAATATATAGTATACAAAACTGTTCTGCTGATTTTGTGCCTCGATAGATGTTTCGAAATAACCAGCCGACAAGTTTTTGATTTTTTACTACAAAATTTTCGGGAGTTTTTTAAGAGTTAGACTATTAAGTAGACTAGCAGATGTGCTGACTGCATCTACAAGAATAAAGTCATCCAAAATAAAGAACATGAATTGAATAAAGAAGTTCGATATTCAGGAGTTGTTATTCAAAGTTACAGTTAGGCATGTATGTGTAGTTCTGCTACCGAATAGCAACAAAATCAAATTTTCTGTTGTTCTTTTTTGAAATCAAATGATTTGAGTTCAGCAGAAAAAAAAGTTTGCGAGAGAAAAGGACTGGTGTGTTTCGCCACAGAATAATCTGTAGTTAGTGAGCAAACTAATCAAAAATTTTATTTCAAGAAATTTCAATTTCTGCCTTATTACGTAAGTTCAGTAGCATTACAAGTGACATCCATTTTAATACCTGACTGATTTTTGCCGGATAAATATAATCCTTTTTTGAGTTCATTTTTATGCCAAAACACGACTCTTTATCTTGGTTATTTTCCAGAGATCCATATAGAAAATAACCAAGATAACGAATCCGTGCAAAATTGCGTAAACCCAGAGCGCATCTCACTCGTTCCTTAGGATCCGGCAATCCTAGGCGTGATCGTAGTAAACATCAAACCGCCTTGTCAGAATTCAGTGCGTTTACAAAGATCTTAGAGTCTGTTCCAATATGGAAGGCCAAAACATGGAAATGGCTCTCGTAGCGCTAAAGGTTTGCACGACAGGGGCACGCTTGTTGGGTCACCGCGATTTCCTGTAGCAAACTATAGCGCGCGACGCGATTTTAAAGCGATGCGCGTCACTCTGCCTAATCCAGATTGGAACAAGTACAATACCGCTCACAGAATGTGCAAAATTTCCGTGAATGTCGCAGAATTCCGGGAATTCCGCGAAGGTTCGCGAAATTCCGGGAATTTCGCGACATTCCCGAAAATTCGCGACATTCATGTAAATCACGCAAATTACGCAGGGCCATAACTTCTTTCCGAATGAGTGTATTCAAAATCCGAAAACAGCATTGTATTCAGCTTGTCAAGGCGAATCTTTTGCTATACAGGGTGTCTCCAATATCCTGTTTTCAATAATCTTGAATTTGCATGCGGACGCCTCTTCGCATGGGTGTAACGCAACGAGCATCACACATAGGAGACTGCCTTGGGCAATCTTCGATAGTACTCTTTCAGTAGATTATTCTGCGCTAAACAGCAGCCGAAGACTCTTTTAAAGGAGATAGAAGAGCTGATAAACTCTCGAAAAATTGAGCTGTTCCAAGTTCTACCAGCCGTAACTTCCTTCAAGATGAACATTTTCGAAATCCGAAAGCAGAATTGTGTTCAGCTCGTCAAGGCGAATCTTCCGATATACAGCATGTCTTTGAAATTTTGTTTCCAATTTTTTCAAACTTTTCTGCGCGCGTATATTCGCAAGGTCGCAACGCAGCGCACATCAAACATAAAAGACTCCAATAAGCACTATTGGATTGTGCTGCTTCCGCGGATTACCGAGCGCTAAAAACGAACCTTGGAATCTTTTTCAGAAAACATAGAAGAGCTGGTGAATTCTGAAAGAATCGTGTTCTCTCAAATTTTGCCCACTGTAACCCTAAAATCAGAAGCTCTACTGCTAAGCAGATGTGATTTTCGTAATCAGCAGGTCAGATAACCTCTTTGAGCAAGTTTTCAAAGAAATTCGGGTGATTTGATTTTTTCTCGTTCTACGCCCTGAAGCTCGCCGATGGGTTTTGGTCAAAATGTCGATTATCTTGGATTATAAGGAAACCTCGCTCAAAGAGGTTATCTGACCTGCTGATTACGAAAATCACATCTGCTTAGCAGTAGAGCTTCTGATTTTAGGGTTACAGTGGGCAAAATTTGAGAGAACACGATTCTTTCAGAATTCACCAGCTCTTCTATGTTTTCTGAAAAAGATTCCAAGGTTCGTTTTTAGCGCTCGGTAATCCGCGGAAGCAGCACAATCCAATAGTGCTTATTGGAGTCTTTTATGTTTGATGTGCGCTGCGTTGCGACCTTGCGAATATACGCGCGCAGAAAAGTTTGAAAAAATTGGAAACAAAATTTCAAAGACATGCTGTATATCGAAAGATTCGCCTTGACGAGCTGAACACAATTCTGCTTTCGGATTTCGAAAATGTTCATCTTGAAGGAAGTTACGGCTGGTAGAACTTGGAACAGCTTAATTTTTCGAGAGTTTATCAGCTCTTCTATCTCCTTTAAAAGAGTCTTCGGCTGCTGTTTAGCGCAGAATAATCTACTGAAAGAGTACTATCGAAGATTGCCCAAGGCAGTCTCCTATGTGTGATGCTCGTTGCGTTACACCCATGCGAAGAGGCGTCCGCATGCAATTCAAGATTATTGAAAACAGGATATTGGAGACACCCTGTATACCAAAAGATTCGCCTTGACGAGCTGAATACAATGCTGTTTTCGGATTTTGAATATACTCATTCGGAACGAAGTTATGGCCCTGCGTAATTTGCGTGATTTACATGAATGTCGCGAAATTTCGGGAATGTCGCGAAATTCCCGGAATTTCGCGAACCTTCGCGGAATTCCCGGAATTCTGCGACATTCACGGAAATTTTGCACATTCTGTGAGCGGTATTGTACAATCAGTAGTTGTGCAATTACATTAAGGTATCTAAGTTTGCTCAAAGTTCTATCTATAGTCGATTTATGGCATGCAGAGACAGGGCGCTACTGCGGACATTGTCGGCGTCTCCCAAATCAAACGCTCTTTCGTACCTCCAGCGGCCTGCTGTCTCTCCCAAATACGTACTATCTTGATCAGACGCAAAGGCATCCAATCTCCGCGTGTGATGAGTTGCCTGTATATATTTTTGAGGTAAAGTATTTGCGAATTTTTCCTCAATGAACTTTTCCGTATTTTTTCGTGCGCCTCCCCCCCCCCCCTCCCCGACGCTGTCTCTCACACGATGATAGTGCAAGTTTCATTGCCATGCTTGAATGTTGCGTCGAGACGCGGATGCGTCACCCGATACTCTCATCTGTAGAGCGGAATTCGTAGAGTGCAGCAAATGGCAGAGAGCTATGATTTGTGACCAGACGAGAGTGGTCGTTCCATGTTTGTGCGCGGAGGAGTCATCCGGTCGACCTTTGGCACCGCTATGCACCGGGCGCGCTGATGCAGTAGTGGCATCCAGCTCTGGCGACGGGGGGGGGGGGGGAGAGGGTCTTGATTTGAATGCTCGGGTGGAATGTTCGGTGGGGAGCCGAACGCGACGACGAAGCGACTCGAAATGCCAGTCGCGATGACCTCAGCGCGCTTCGTCGTCGACGGTCGAAAAAATCGCGGCGATCGCGGCTCGGCGCGATCTCTTACGCCCCGACATAGTTCTGCTATGTGTCAGCCGCACAATTTCGATCATTCCATGCGTTACAATTTCAATAAATAGATACGGCTAGCACGTAGTCTCTTCACATGGCGCAGAGCGAATCAGCTCTTCGCTGCTTTGCTCTCTCGGCTTATTTTCACGCGATCGCGATCTTCTATTTTTAGTACCGTAACACCTATCCTCAATCTCTCTACGCCTGTGAGAACCTGTGCTCCTATTTTGAGAATCTTGTAAACGTGCCAATCCCTTTTATTTAATTCTGAGTTTCAGTGTCTTCTAGATGAAAGGAAGACCTAAAACCTTTAATTTCTCTAGATTTTCGCAAAAGAGTAGCACCATCCTTAATTTGGGAAAAAGGTTCACAAATTTAAAATTATTTCTATACTAGCTGGCTTGCCCGGCTCCGCCGGGCCTGCCAGCTAGACCCGTGTACGTATGTTCCAAATAGAAAATTCCATTTCTGAACCGATCCGGACCAAACTTTGCACACATACACTTCGGGCCCCGGCGGGTGTCACAGTCCACTTTTCGTTATCGATCGATGTCGATTATACCGATTTTTATCGATCTTTTTTGCAGAGTTCACCTACAGGGCTAGGAGTTGGCACAGGGGGGAAGTGAGCATGGGGATTCCGAACACAATATTAGTTTTCAGAATTATCGATTACTTTTATTGATTTTATCGATTTTTTTGTAAATTTTGACCTGCGGGGCTGGGAGTTTGCACAGGGGGGTAATCGAGCATGCTGATTACGAACACAATATTAGTTTTCAGGATCGTCCATTACTTTTATCGATTTTATCGATTTTTTTTGTAAAGTTTGACCTGCGGGGCTGGGAGTTTGCACAGGGGAGTAATCGAGCATGCAGATTACGAATACAATATTAGTTTTCAAGATCGTCCATTACTTTTATCGATTTTATCGATTTTTTGAAAATTTGAGCTAGGGGGCTGGAATTTGGCACAGGGGTGTAATCGAGCATGCTGATCACCCCCCTTGGGGATGATCAGCATGCTCGATTACCCCCCTGCGCCAACTCCCAGCCCCCTAGCTCAAACTTTGCAAAAAAATCGATAAAATCGATAAAAGTAACCGATAATCCCGAAAACCAATATTGTATTCGGAATCCCCATGCTCGACTACCCCCCTGTGCGAACTCTCAGCCCCGTAGCTCAAACTTTGCAAAAAAATCGATAAAATCGATAAAAGTAATCGATAATCCTGAAAACCAATATTGTATTCGGAATCCCCATGCTCGATTACCCCCCTGTGCCAACTCCCACCCCCGTAGCTCAAACTTTGCAAAAAAATCGATAAAATCGATAAAAGTAATCGATAATCCTGAAAACCAATATTGTATTCGGAATCCCCATGCTCGATTACCCCCCTGTGCCAACTCCCAGCCCCGTAGGTGAACTCAGCAAAAAAAATCGATAAAAATCGATAAAATCGATATCGATCGATGACGAAAAGTAGCCTATGACACTCGCCGGGGCCCAAAGTGTATGTGTGCCAAGTTTGGTCCCGATCGGTTCAGAAATGGAATTTTCTATTCGGAACATACGTACATACAGACATACAGACAGACATACAGACATACAAACAGACATTCAGCTTTATATATAAGATGTGTTACTAGTACAATATTTTTTTACTGTCAGTAATAAAGTTGCACTTCTTTCCAATCTCCTCGTTCCGAATCAAAATTAAGGATTCTGAAAAGTTTCTAGGACGCAAAGCATAGAAGTCTTAAATTAGACAACAAATCTCAAATTGACAAATACAGTACGAGAAAATTGTTGCTAGGCATATATCTATGTCAGTGTGAAAAGGCCCTATAACTCTCTCTCTCCCTCCCCCCCCCCCCCCTCCCTTGGTTACTGAATCCCTTTTTCTAATTGAAGTTTGAAACTGCTCGAATAGCGTAGAAAAATAATAGGACCTTAAATCATGTCAAAGGTAAATTATGATATTTGGTGGTTTGGAGCGTCATTTGAATTTCGACAAACCAGTCCGTCTCCTCCCCCCGTTCCCCCTCCCCCCCCCCCTCATCACCACTGCCCTTCCTCTGAGTTCTTAATGAGTTGTCATGACAGCCTGAAAAACGATTGGTTTGCCAGTCCTATTCCTGGACAATGATTATTTTGAACCTTGTGGTCCACATAATCTTATGGTCAAAAAAATGAATGTTATCATTTTGGATGACACCACAGAATAAGGAAAGGTATCGTTTATGGCCATGGTTTCAATACAAATCTGATGGTCTTCATAATCCGAACAATAAAGGAGCTTAAAATGTTCAACACAAGAAATGTTTCCTTAGTAAAGGAGGAAGACTCCTTTCCCTTTTTCTTTGTTTCTCTCTTTGGTCCTGGTTAATCAAATGAAAAAAATTTCTGCTATTCCTAATCAGTACGTTTTAAATTTTCACGCATTTCTTCAGGCTCAAGTCAATCCCATGTTTTCAAATCCACCAATCTTCTATTACAATTTGATTTAAACCTTTTACTTTTTTTATAGATGCATATTTTACGAGAATGTAGAAAGCAGGTGCATTGAATATACAACTCAAAATTACAATGCAAATTTATGCAAAAGCTGCTTGCATATTTTGAGGAACAAGGGCCATCAAATGGTGACGTACGTTCCCACATTTTTAATTTTCAGATTAAAAATTATAGCACATATGCGGATCTTTGAGAAAGCAGTCTTCGATTATGAAGTCAGTGTGCAGCATAAAGCATATTCTTCATTAAAAAAATCTGGTTGTTTATGCGAAAGTGAGAGAGAAGACGAAGGGAGGAGTGAAATTAGTGGAAAAAGTGAAAAGAGTCATTATTCGAGCAGGTGGCCCTGGTTTCCAGTGAAGGTCAGAGTTCAAAGGAAATAAATCAAAAACTCATAAATAAGATTTATTGATATTTCTATGACAATCAATGTCCGCTTTTTCTTCCAGTTACGAATAAAACTTGAATCTTCGTCCACCTGAAATTGCCAATTATTTTTTGGGTGCCTTTGTTCTCCATGATGATTGAATTTATTCCCTATAAATCTCTATTCCGATTGAAAACAGACTAGTTCTGTATGATCAGTTAATCATCATTTGCCCGACTGCCCTTCACAATTTTGTCATTTCAGTAAATGTCTTTGCGGATTCTATTCTTTCTCTCAGCGATCTCTTGCCTTTCCTTAGCGGGTCGTTGTAAATGGCGATATCGTGAAAGCAGAGTTAATGTAGGTTTTTTGCTATAAATTAAGGGCCTCTCGTATCTACAGTAATCCATTCTTCAGGAACAAGTAATAAGGCAGCCAAGAATCTCTCGAAACTGCCGTGGACGAGTATCATTGGCAGGAGAAGAGTACTGGTCATCTGTTGGCTATGATGGAAGATTAAGGTAGCATGGGATTACGGATTATTAAAGGACCTACCGTAATTTTTGTGAAATTAAGGGAAGGACGGACCACAGGCGATTTTCTCACAGTTCCTCATACGGGTGGCGGACAAGTACGCGAAGGTTGGGTGGCTTATTGGTAAGTTTCTGCAGTCCTTTAAATGAAACTTGTTTTTGAATTTGAAATGCCGAGCAGTCCGGGAATTTTTGTATTCCTGAAAAAAAACATTGAAAATTGTTGGAAGCTGGTTTCTCTGATATGAGTATTTTGTCTTATTGTATGATTAGTGTGACTGAACAAGACGAAGAACTTGTTTTGATATTTTGTATTCACCTGTAGTCTTTCACTTAATCTACTTATTCAGTCTTCAGTTCTACACTTTTGGTAAAAATATCTACAGAACAGAGTTCTATTTACTTCGTGAAACTTTTGTTTTTTGAAAAACTTATCAGTAGATCTCAAAAACTGTTAAAAAACTCTGGAAAGCTCTGGAAACCTCAGAATGTTCTGTTTGAAGTCACTTTTGATTACTGTTATAGGACTTATTGAAAGACAATTTATTTCGAAAAGTTGAATTTATATTTGTTCTTTAGCTTTGCTCCATAATATCTGCAAAAAACCTATGCCAAAAAAGGCTTTTTCTTGAAAAGAAAAGTCAATAATTTTGTTGAAGAAAAATTTCTACAGATTAAGGTCTGGTTTTTAGAATGTTTATTTCAGGAAATATTTGTGGAATTAGAAACTTTGGTTTGAAAAAGAGTTCAAAAATTCTTGTTTTTCTTCTTCTCAATAAAAAACTTCCTCTTCACTGTGAATTACACGAATCTCAAAAACAGAAGAATTTTTTTCACGTTTGTTTCCAGATCGACGACGCTCATAAGTGAAATGTGCATTAGTGGTTCTCTTTTTCCATTCTACTTATTCTAATTGGATCAGTGCCAAAAACCATTCCATGAATTGATTACCGCTCAAATTGTCGTAGGCACGCGACTTTGGCGAATCCACTTCCTTAAACCCAGAGTTCAAGTTTTTTAGGTCAAAAAAACTCTTTTTCCTGTCAAATAGAGAAAACTATGACTCATCTGTACCATGCGGCCACTGTTTTTACCTGATAAGTGTGACTGGAAGGTCACATATTTAGTACATTTTGAAAAAAAAACTGATATTTTTCTAAGGGTAGAGCACTGAGCATCGTAAAGCAACTTTTGGCAGACGGTTATGATGCCCTTATCTTGAAAACATAACATAAACTAGCAATATTTTGTTGCACTCAGATAAACAAAGCATCCGCAGGGCTAGCGACGGTCGAAAGAATCGTTTAGCTAGCTTTTAGCTACTAAAATAAGTTCACTGATCACGTATAGGACATAAGTTGGTATTTTTGCAACATGGCGTAACCAGAATGAAGAAGATTAAATACCAGACTCACTAGAACAAACATAATGTATCTTGATTCTCAAAAAAAAACAAGCAGAAAACTGCAGTTTTTAAATACACGCTGCTCGAAATAAAAGCTCCAGCTTTCAAAAATCACAAACTCGTTTTGCACAGTTTCGCTTGCAAAATAATGCTAAAGTTTGAAAAATTATAGTTGAAATAAAGATTTCTATCAAGCAAGCCATGTAGATTATCTTGTGATAATCAAAAGGAACTTGGAAAACTAGTTTTACCGAAAAAATGTTGAAAGATAGGGAAAAAGTAACATACTTAAAAGATACTAACAATTAGAATCAACTTAGAAATCCCAATTAAAATTTCTGATGCACATCATATATGTAATTTTCGCCTCTGAGGAGGGAAATAAGTTTTTGAATCAAAATGGTCTCTAAAAATCATTTGTATCTTGAATTTTTGGAAAATTTGAAATTTAGCTTGTTCAACCTCATAGCTCAATTCCAACAATTGTGCGAATTTTTAGGCTACTAAAAAGCTTCCAAAAAATTTCGCTTGCGTTTTTTGCGCTCCTACGGATTCTCTTATGTTAAAGCATTCTTGAAATTATTCGTAGATTTACATTACCATGACAAAAGAGAAGATTTTTTAGGAATTATACTGTTAGCATTGTGTTTCAGGAATTTTTCCTATTTTTTCAGAAATTTTGGATTTTTGAAGATTATTTATGGTAGAATTACGAGAATTTCAAGATTTTAACAGCGTAATCTTCTAGTGATTCATAAACTTACATAAATAAATTATCTTGAAAGGTTATCCCTAAGCACAATAAGTTTTCAGGGATTTTGAAAATTTTTAATAGACTGCAAAGTTTTGAGAATTTTATATGAAGTAATGGCATGCAGTTCCAAAACTAAATCGTTTCAGGATCACCAAAGACCGATATGGTCCAGGTGTACACTATGAAATCTTCGGACATGCCTATCTTCGCCCGGATGGACGCATCTGCGCCCGATTTGCTGGACGAGATCGCGATGCCATCGAGCTTTGCGAGGGATTCCGAGTTTTGTCGCGAAATCGCTTCAATCCAAGCGAAGAATGCCCGTGAGTGTGGTGTTCAAGCCATTTGTAAATTCACATGGGGGCACGATGGGGGGTCAACTCGATCAAAATATCCAGCTGAACTGCCAGATGGCAATGCGCTGACAGTCGGTTGCTGTCGGATTTTGATGGCGAGTCAATTTAGGATGAGTATAGGGAGCAAATATTTAGGGGTCATTTTTGGAAAAAATTGACAAAAACCTTCTTCTTTCCCGCAATAAATTTATGGGACCGGTTTTCCTACATAGCTATCTAGGGGGAAAAATAATTGAGAACACCACAGAAAGTTTTTTTGATTAACGGTCTGTTCACAAGGACGCTAACTAATTGTGTGTCATGTGATTGATGATGCTCGTACGATGAGGACACTGATTCGCAATTACGTCTTTTGCTGTTGACCAGAAGTAAAAAAGTTTTACAAATGTCGTTTAAACTTTTTTTGCGTTCTAAATGGGCACTTGTAAGGGAAGTCAAGCGCTCTCAAACCCTGTTTTCAATTGTCCCAGTTGCGGAGAAAGAACTAGAAAAACTCTATGCTGAAAATTCCTGTGAAAGTTTGCGCTATTTCCCTTCACTAAGCGGGAAAGCAATTTTCTACGACAATTTCTTCAAGTTTCCTTCTCAAAAATCCTTTTTGGCGCAAGACCACCCATACAGCTGGAAACCATTCATCATCTTATCACGTGTATCGTAAAACTCTCCTAAAATTCTTCTTTCAACACTTTCTTTCGCTCCGAAACACCTTTCCGACGGGTCGAGTGCACAAAAAGGGCAAAGCTGTTATTTGGCACCGTAAACATACAAATTCAATGATCCATGCATCATTCTTGCGGATCTAAAGATTGGAAAGCGCGGGAAAAGGAGAATTGGTTAACCTTTTCCAAAATATTATGTGAGTTGTTCACAAATTCGGAGTTTTTTTAAGGAGGGAGGGGGAATCATTCTCAAATGAAGGGGTATGGCAGTGGCCGTCATAATTTTCTCTGCAAATCTTGCAGTGACCATTTTTCGTAAGGATTTTAGCCACCCTTTGAAGAGTGTCTTTCATTCCACAGTTTTATGAATTATTTCACTACCTACAAGTCCCCCCCCCCCCCGATAGGATGGTCTCGCTTCAAAAACAAAGGAAAAATCGCTAAAATTGCTCAAAAATGCCAAATTATGATATAATTGAATACTTTTTATAATCGCTAATACTGTTGTATCCTTGTATATAGAGAAAACTCTCAGAATCAGAAAACTTGAATAAAAAATTCAAAATCATAACTATTCGTAGAAAAATCCAAGATCCGCCTAGATCGCATCCCACGTAAACTAGTCAAAATCGAAGAAAAATTTTGTCACCTAAAATTTGGATGAAAAGTCCTACGGACCTCCAACTTGATCATTATATAGCAGGCACATAATAGTACTCAAATATGCGTTTACAGGGTTTTTTCCCGCACATAGAAAGCGAGGAAAAAAGATAATTCAAGAATGGCAAACTCCGCCCCCAGCTCCTTCTACAAACGTCATTGTATACTACAAGCCTTACTAAGTATAGTCTTAAAACTTTACCCCTGTATGTGCTCTTATAATTGAGGAATACCAAGTTTTACATGAAGAACTCAAAAAAGTGGCATTTTGGCATTTTCAAACCATCTTTCTTTCTCAATTTTGAGCACCGAAAAAAAAATCTATCAAATCCATTTTTGGGTACTACTATGCTCTACTATATAAAGACCAGACTGATTGTCCGTAAAAACTTTCTGGAAAGAGATCCGATTTTTAGGGTAGCTGAAAAATTTCGATTTTTGGCTCCAAATTTTACCTGGATTACGAATTAGGTGGATTTTGTTGGTCTCATTGTAGAATTTGCTCCGCTCTATCGAATGGTACCCTAAGTCATTTGGGAAAACAAAAACCGCTTAAATTATTCAAAAATAGAGTTCACTTTTGGGACAACTTGGTGTTATGTACCAATTCAAAGATTTCATCGATGTTAGAGAAGATTGGACAATTTCAAAAATAGACTTATGCATCACCTGCATAAATAAAAACTTCTCGTACATATCTACAATCTCCCGTTTGAAACCAGTTTTCAAAGACTGCGACAAATCATAGTCATTACAAGTTATGATTACGGCTATTATGTTGCCTTACCTTTCCACAAATCGCATTTCGGGCATCCGTATGGTTCAACTGGTTTCCCCCGCTTGTTTTCAAGAACTTGTGATTTTTATTTAGAGGATTCAGAATGTAGGGGCTGATTGAAAGTAATGCAACATTACGGCTTAACAATTTCTGCTTGCGTCATAAATTCCTTCATCATCCACGAATCAAGTGAATTGTCCATTAGTTCCACTGTTGTTGTAGAAACATACTTCAATCAGAGATTTCTGAAAGCAAAACAATATTGATCGAAAGTCTCATCTAAGACTAAATATCTTTCATAACGTAACTTGCATTATCTTCTAGTTTGCATTCAAAACCCGCGAACTTCAAAACATGAACTTATGGAAAATGGAAATATGGAAAACATGAACTCTTGCAGAAAGAGCAAAAAATGCTGAATAATGCGAACATTTAGTTGAAATCACCTAATTATTATCATAAAGTGCATATGCATAAAAAATGATCGGTCAGATTTTGAAATCATATTTCAGCGCAAAGGCCTAACATCATTCAAAAGAATTGGATTTGTATGTCGCACTGAATACCTCCGTCTTATTCGGAGATCATGCAACCCATAATCATCAAAAAACACATATTGGACAAAATGATGAGAAGGGCTACAAGACAATGTGATGAGAAGGGCTACAAGACAAAATCATGGAACGGCAGTTTACTCGTTAATTTCCCCATAAAATATACGATATTAACTTTTATTTCTTTTGATCGCGCTTGTCAGGATAAAGGGTGGCCTTGCCTTTACCTCATGTGTAGCCGAAATTGCATTAGTCTTACTATAATCTTTATTATACAAACTATGTAAAAGGGGAAATAGAAAGGGGGAAGAGGGCACCGGCTCCTGCCGGACGCAAAGGTCACTGTCAGAGGCTCGCTATCTTAAGCCAACTTCCATCGTGAGCAGCTGTTGAGTAGTAGCTGCGTTCCGACACGCTTTCTAGCTCAAAAACTCATTCCAAATCCATTTAGCTCTAGTAAATACAGTCTGCCCCAATCCTAACCAAGCCAAAATTGGCACGGCGGGAGTCCCATCGCTAGGTTTCGCGGCCACGGCCAGGGCCTGATTCTTTGCTCTCTCCTAAATCTTTTGGCTCTCTGCGAGCGTGCATATGCAGCGCAGACTGCTAGCGCTGCGAGAGCGCAAGTCTGCGCCGGCGATTTGGCCTGATTTCGATTGGAGCAGACTGTACCTCAGTTAGTTTATCTCGCCGCAAAAGGACCGCCTTGAGTAAGGCAGATGGAAAAAATATCTATTCTGTGGTGATTTTGTTTTTTCGAATGAAATAATTAAGCAATAGCTTGTAGCAATTATGTATATAAAAAATTATGAAAAAAAGATGATTGTTTTTTGATGAAAAATCAAGCAGTAACCCAGTAACCTTTTCTCGCAGTTGGTATTGTGATATCTTGTGCACTACCACCTTCATTCGAATAAAATTTTTCTCCCTCCCCCTCCTCTCCCCCCCCCCCTCCCACCGAACGAAAATCCTGGTTGCGCCACTGCCAATCCGTTTCCGTAATGGGAAGCTACTGTGTCACAGAAACTTGCAAGGGAAGTCAGGTCATTTAAAATTGCTTTTGAGGTGGGACACATATACAGGGTGTCCGTAAAGTATGTATACACTGTTTGATCGTTAATATCTTTCTTCTCAACAAGTCTTTTGCCTTGCTTCAGGTACCGTTTTGTAGAGCTGGCCTTAACTTAGATTTACAGTATGGAGCAAATCACCGATCGCTCTTCATTACTGTAGGATTATGGTAGAAACTTGAAACATATAGAAAAAAACATATAGAAAACATATGTCAATGTGGAAAAAGCTGCCGTCTCAAAACTTTTCAAAAAAATGTGAAAACTTGTTTAATAGGGTTTTTATGAACGCTGAGTTTAATACTCAACTATTCACGAGATTGCGAAGCTTTCTAAACGGTGTAGCCGCACTTTTTAGGAACATTGAAAAAATGGCCGCTACCTCTTACTCGCCATAACTCTTCAATGAAGCATCATAACAAGTTGGGAACTCTACAGTTAGAATCAACAACTCTGATTACCCTAGTGTAGGAGCTTTCAGGCTGTTTTGTTTACTTTCTGAGGCAAAATATGGCCTTTCATGGCTCAAAACCCTCTTTGAAGTTCTACCGTAATCTTACAGTAATGAAGAGAGATGGGTGATTCGATCTATACTGCGAGTCTAAGCTGAAGCCAGCTCTACAAAATGGTACCTGAAGCAAGGCAAAAGACTTGTTGGAAAGAAAGATATTAACGATCAAACAGTGCATACATACTTTACAGACACCCTGTGTTTGGGATCAGCTTCGAACGCTGATCCCAAATACTGTTCCTAGCTGCACATCCTTCTGGATCGAGTAATCAATTTTTTGTACAAAATATGCTTAATCTTTGACCTACTTGCATTACGGTATCACCATGAGTTTCATGTCAATGACAAAAGACTCAATCTGATATTATTCTAGTACTTGGAATCAGCGTTTGGATTCCAAACATATGTGTTCATCTCAAAACGCGAATCTAAGTTGCTGATTTCCCTTGTTAGTCTCAATTTGGCCATCTATTTCAACTTTAGAATGCCTTAATCCCTGTATTATAGACTAACTCTGCAGTTGTTCGCGGCGTAAATCTCATTGATGCGGCTTTCTTTTTAGGCGCAAAACTAATTTCTAACGCAATTTTACTTTCGCAGTGTTTGAATCTATAGAATCTATTTCACATCTGTGAGCTTCCTCGGATGAAAGGGATGGAGATAGAAGAGGGGGGGGGGGGAGAACAACGGATCGTTTGTCCCTTTCACGGGTCTGCGCAATCGTAGGACGCTTCCGAAATTGCAGACAGGCAAACGGCACTGCTAACTCGTTTTCAACTCGATTTCTTCTCGGGACCACGTAGGAGACAACTCATATGGCTGTGCCGGCGTGAGATTCAGCGTTCCCCTACGTATTACACGGTGCGTAACATTTGGCATGCGCGGCGCGGTCTGGCCCAATAATTCATGAAAATCACTATTTTGATCTGTTCGCAATACCCATCTAACAAGGGAAGAGTGTTTCTTCGTGGTGCTTTGAGACGTGATGCATACCATCTTGGGGGGGGGGGGGAGAGAGGGATAAAACCTAATTCCGAATTTGCCTTCCTCGCCTGCGAGGAGGTATGAGGTTTTGTATGTGCAAAAAATTGAATGAGCGATGATAAAATCAGTCAAAGCCCTAGCTCAAACGAGGCATCTGCGAGTAAAGAAATTTGACCTAAGAGTATTTATTGCACGCTGTGCCCTGACGTCAAACACTGCTCCATTTTAGAGCTAGGAAAAACATCACGACTGGTTTTACCCTAATTGAAGAGCCTCTGCGCAACAATTTTGGGAATCGAGGGAGAAAATGAATTTAATCAATCTATAAAGGCAGTCAATATGTGTCTCAAAGCACGATTGCCATTCCTACGACTTACTTCTTTGTAACAGATTTAGCTTCATGTGGCGAAAAATGCAAAAATTTAGAATCAGCACGCTTTGAATGACCGTAAAGTGTCGCAACGTCTGTTTTCAGTTTTGAGTGGGTCCAAGCCGCTTATGTAAGACCTCGAGAAGCCATCGGTTTTCATCATCATCGCATAGCGAAGAATGAGGAATCTCCAAATGATGTAAGTAACTTCCTTCTTTTTGATCCATTTATACCACATGACTCGCTCAAGGCTTACTACGGTGATGCGAACTTGAGAGAAAGGACGTTCCGTGGAGTACCACCAAATGCGATGATATTTGTTGAGGTCTTGGTCTTTTGAATTACTCCTTTAGTTATTAGGTATAAGTAACCAACCAAACCTTTTCAGCTATTAGATCCGAACATGTTTGTCAGAAATATTTGGGTTCTCCGAAGAAAGCCAGAAGTAAGTGCAGTTCTATATCCAAGAGCTCGTCTTAACTAGAGTGTCCCCATTTGCCTCTACCCTTTGTATTTCACAGATTATATGAGTGTGCTAAACCTTTCCTAACACTCCTTTGTGCTTTAACGGATTGATTTCCTAGTGTGTTCTCTTACTTATGACCTTCAAGGTCTCTAATTTGTCCATTTGTACTTCTGATCTATGGCTGCATAATCTATCAACTGCATTTTCTGCACCAATCTTGCCTGCCTGATGATTAATGATCCTGAATTTACAACTCCTTGTAGTGAGAAGATTTATTCTCTAGATTTAGTGCATGCCGAAGTTACTGCCAAATTCACATCAGTCATTTGTATAGGCATGTCATTGTCATTTCTTTGTCTTCGTTATCCTCTCCCTAATGTGCAAGTCGCCCTTGAACAAGGTGAAATAAAACCCATGTCTTGTCACTGTTCCTTTCGATTGCTGCATGTTCTTCTAGCTTCTTACAGATTGCAAGTCAGATTGATAATACTGATGATAAGTGAAGGAGTAAAGAAAAACATTTTCAATTCATCTAAAGTATATATATGCTCCATATGTTTTTATTGAAAAAATGCAAAGAGAATAAAAGGTGTGAAGAGGATGAGAAAATTCATTGAGGTGTCTGTTATCCTGTTTTAACTACCAAATTTTATAGGTGAAGTAAGCATTTTATTTTATTGTGTGCAAGTGTAGTGATCAGTTCGACCAAACATTTGCAGTAATTCGACGCGAGTAGACCAACACACTATGAAGGAACATTGAAATTGATTAGCGGGTTCATCACAACTTCAGTGGCAAGGTCTTATTACTATTTTTCATACCTCGAATAGAGAACGTTAATATTAGGCGACATACAATAGGAAACAATAACAGTAACAATAATAAACAATAAAGTAACGACATACAATACCTTAACACGCTTAGGTAATCATCGAATATGGACCAATTTTGCATTTGTCCTAGTGTCCCTGAGAGGACCACGCAATGGCTTTGATGTTGTTGGGTAGTTTCATAAATTTGTAGCTACTTATTTTGCTGTTCTCACTAACGAAAGGCGGAATATGAATTGCAGTACTTTTATTTGTTTTGCAAATGACCTTTGTTTTCAAAAATTTCACATTGTGCGCATTTTCTCAGGATTCAAAAACACGAAGGTTATACACGAAGGTTGGAATAACGCCTGAGGACATTTCCATCCTGTTGCTAAAATTGATTTGAAGTTTTTCCATCGTCCATGTAAAAGGCCCTCCTTCATCTTTCTTAAGATGAAGCAAAAAGCGAGGTTGAATGTAGTAGCACATTGCCATATAAGTGTTTTCCATTGTTTTGTCCCCTTGCGGATCCTGGGATAGCTGATTTGCGAAGCTGTTTTTTTTTTCTTAAAACCCATTAAAACGTCGCAAAATTCTGCTGTGGATATATTATGATAGTGCTAAACATTTTTTGGACATTACAAATTCGTAAGGATGGAAAAGGTATCAGTCCTTTCCTAAAATTTGAAGTCTGTTTATAATGCAGAAAAGACTCGTCGAACTAGCTAATTATGCTGTCGTAAGCAAAGCGCAACTGTGAGGACGATAACAGAAAGTGTAGGTTTATGGTTGTTCATCATGGTTGTACACCCTTCCCTCTCTCATTCCCGATTTCACTGAGATACCCTTTGTTAGAAGGACAAATAGTAGAACTTTTGATTCATTCACTAAAGAAGGCTTGAGGCAGAACCTGGCACAACTGAAATACGGTGAAGATGAAAGTTCTAGAAGGAAAATCAAGTAGAGGAGGGCCCCAATCTTAAAGGCAGTGTCCGGGCAAAAACTCGATTTTGAGATTTTGTGCTTACTTGGGCCTATTCGCTACGCTGAATCCGAAAATGCACATTGTAGAGCGCGAAAATGGCGAAAAACGGCTCTAACACAGGAGGGAAATGGGCAGGTGGGCGGGGTCCTCCCCACTGCGAATTCACGTTCCCGGCTTCCGGAGCGACCTTCTCGCTTCCGGTTTCAAGTCAATCATTCGCACTTGGTCGGTAGCGATGTTAGAACGGCTAGCGGAATCGAGAAAATCGCTCCGGGGGCTGGGAGCGTGAAATCGCACTGGGGGAAGCCCCGCCCACCTGCTGATTTCCCTCCTATATTAGAGCCCTTTTCGCCGTTTTCGCGCTTTCCAATGTGGATTTTCGGATTCAGCATGGCGAATAAGCCCGTTTAAGCAGAAATTCTCAAAATCGAGTTTTTGCCCGAATACTGCCTTCAAGCTCGACAACTGTCCTCTCTCAAAATTGTTCAATACTGCCATTCTGATAGCTCAATCACTGCTACAAGTGCTTAAAGGCAGCGTCCAGGCAAATCTGGACCTTTGGGGTCTTACGTGGAAAATAATCTTGAGGCCCTAAATGAGACTCTGCCCAAGCGGCAGCTCAGATAGCGCACTTACGGCTAAGATATTGGGCTCCAAACTATGCCCCGTGATCGTATTTGCATGGATTCGTGGCGCTTTCGCGCGAGGATCCACGCGAAACCGATGTGCCGAGCTAGAATAACCATTTCGCATTTTCTTGCAACCTTTCCATGTTTTCTTCCCAAAACGCACTCAAAGCAATCAAGGCTTCACAATTTTTTCTGCTCAGGCGTATTTGCAATACCTAACTATTGATACAAGCCTTGCAAGTACAGCAGCGGAACGTATCGTATGGACTAGTCACCATTTCGATCAGGTTCTGGGAATTTTTACTAATTTCACGCTCACACTGTAAGAAGTCGAGTGAGTGAGTAAAAAACGGAAAAATTTAGAAACAAACGAGACCGCTAACTTCGCTATGACTCAGGTTAGCTTTTGTTGGGGAAGGGCATTTGAAATTTGGAGAAAGAAGTACGTGATGTACAGCTCGAAAAACTTTAGTGTCACATACTTATGTGAACAAAAGTAGTAAACCCGAATGTTATTTTCGAATAAGAATGCGTATTGAAGAAGAAAGTTTTAATATGAGCTTTTACACTTTTCTCCGAAATGGAGCAGGATTACCGCACGCTACTCGAAATGCCTATTTCCATTACGGCATCAATATTACCGTAGCTGACAATCTTATGTACAAAGCTGAATGTCTGTTTGCATTGAAAATTATTATTTCTAAACCTATCCGGACCAACCTTGCACTTCGGGGCGAGTAACAACGCGAATTACGGTAGTTGATACCAACCTCGAAAGACAGCTTGAAAGCCGCAATGAACACGTTCTGATAAGTTCATTCCTCCGCTCTTTTTATATGTGCTGATTCTTTATCAAATCCGCATAAGGATCGATAGCACGACAGCTCCTGCGTGATAGCAATGTACTCTTCCTTAGCGTTTATTTTTGGATTTTCCGCGTATATCCAAAACCCCTCAAAGGTCTTGCGTGATAAGGTATCAGGTTCAAAGGTTCAGACGGAGGCGAAATCACCGAAACGTTAGCAAATAAAGAATTGTTGCAAATCTTGATCGTTGCTGAAACGGTATTTCAATTTCGTTTTCATCAAACACGCTCAAGGCTTTTTACATTAGAAAAGATGGAAAGCTGTTAGCCTTAAACCGAACACGACCGAAACAAAATTCCTTACTATGTATAGAGTTTGGGTGTAGCCCTTCAGATTGATCGATGGGAACGTAATGATCCTGATCAGCGTTTTTTTTTCAATTTCTGCCATTTCGGACTAAAGTCACTTTGCAAGGCTGAGACGACCCATCAATGGGATATGAGCTGACTAGGTAGTGCTCTTCTGAGAATTTTGAAACATGTATTTTGAACTCCTCTTGTACAAATTTTGGAAACATTTATTCTCAAGTGTCAAAATCCTAAGAAGTTTCAAGGCGCTGGCAGTGTTACACTTCGGAAAACATACGATCCACAGATGAGTCTCATTGCCCGAAATAACAGGGCGCACACGACCCACCGTGGGTCGTACTGTCGTGAACGTGTTGAGATAGTATTCAAACTCGCAGAAACATTCAATTGGAGAGTTTGTGCATTATAACCAAATTCAATGTCACACAGCATTTTTCCACTTTTAATATGACACGTTGGAGCATGTCAGTCATGACCCAATTTGACGCGTACTCTGTCAAGCCCAGAAGAACATCAAAATAAAAAACTACTACTCAAATATTACACGTCGACTTTTAAACAATTTAAGAAGGAAATTCGATACCAATACCTTAGCTATTCATGAAAACAAGTAAAGAATTGCTGGCTAACTAAGGTTAACAGCTACTTGCGTTGGAGAAAGGAAGTGATCATTATAGAATTTATAAAATTAGAGATCTCTTTCTCAAGCGGACTAAAGCGAGAAGAAGGTTCAAATTGTAAGCAATGAGTTTAACCGCGGCAAATTTTTATGGTATGAAAACATGATACATATGATGCAAGAATGATGCATATGGAAAGAATGCAATGCAAACAACTCAAAGCAAACAACATACACTGGCATTTATCTGACAAGGGAAGGATACGTGGTTGAAGTGGTACTTCCACATCAAATGTAATATATGCTCCATGACGAAGACGGTCGCCCAAATAGGTTGAAAGCATAGTTTGACGCGCACGCGGCGCGGGGGTGTCAACCATGGGGCATGGCTGCTGAGCGACTGTGTGCGCGCCCCATGGTGACAATTGCCGGCGCGTGTGCGTCAATCCTGCATGCCTTCAACCTATTGGGCGACCGCCTTCGTCATAGAGCACATATTACATGTGCCATATAAGCATGGAACGCTCATTCCAAATCTGATTCCGATATTTGCCAAACGCTTCTGGAAGGGAAGTTATGGGAATTATTCGAACGAAGATTCCTGCTACAATAAAGTCTTCCAAAACTTTAGTCTGTGAGCTCCGATGAAGCCACAATTACTACTAGAACGCATTATGCAGTGAACACCTCCACTTCAATAACTTATGCTAGTCTAGTTCTTTCAAGCGTCGGAAAGACCACAACATTTTTTTCCATATCACAAGGGAAGGCAACTAACTTACTTTTAGTAAGAGACATACATACTTTGAATCAGCTTCAACTGCTAATTTCAAGCATGCTATTACTACCTGCGACGCACATTCTGAAGCGAGTTATAGAGGGTTTCGCGTCGCACAGCTAGCTTCTTTGTCTGTACGCATATGCAGCGCAAGCCATATCGTTGCGAAGGCAAATTTGCCAGGTTGCTGTGTTGCCGGATTTAGCCTAATCTCAATTGGAACTTGCTGTACTCTGGACTAGGTGTAAGCACATGTAGCGTACTTTGGGTGTACTTTCACAGAGGAGCGTTGTCCTAAACTGCGTTCATACTGATCCCGAAGTTCCAACACTGCGCTCGAACTAAGCGCTGTGCTGGAAGTGTTCCCGAACTTCCGGATCAGTATGAGCGCAGCCTTACCCACATGTGGAAGAAAATCTTTTACGGATGTGAAGACATAAGCGCCGTTTGGTATGTTCTCAGAAAAGGGGACAGATACTTGAGGTGTATGTTGTGCATGTTTCCCCATCGTTCCCTGTGCAGTTCTTCCATGTATTCAATCCGAATTCTTATGGGAACCTAGGCCTCAATTTTCCAGGTTGCAGCGGCTATAGAAGCACAATATCCCTTCTACCCCAGCAGAAGCGAGGTAAGCTGTGTAAAGTTTATTAAATGAAAGAGTGGAAGAAGTAAGTGATCTAAGCTAGTCTTAAATCCACCTATAATAGATTGCATCATTTTCAGGGTCGAAGATATCCGCAGGATTACGGCCCGAGTTTCCCAAGGTATGCTATCACTTATATAGTTGTAATTAACTGATACTTTATCTTTTTCTTCAGGGGAGACGAAGCTGGGTCACGTGGTTTGCCCGCAGTTGGAGGTGGAGCCCAAGATTGGCCTCCCAAAACTTCTGCTCAGGTATGTAATGCCCTATTAAACCTCAAATTTCAAAACATCCTCGTATACACAACACACCAATGTTGATCAGAATGTTGGTACATTCTGATCAACAATGGTGTGTCAACCGGCTTAGTAAAGATTTTGATATCGAGCGCAAATTTTCTGAAATCGAATATGAATGCTACCCAAGATACTATCGGTTGTTTCAAAAAATTTTATCTCACAAAAAATCTTCTTCCTACTCCTACGTGTATAGGTAATAAATTCTGAATGGGAAGGTCGCCCGCCTCCACATATACATCGCTTGTTTTCTATTATAGTAAGATTCCTATGGGAACCATCAAGGCATACCCATCTCGCTGCTTTTCCTTCGTTTCAAAAAGTTCCTCTGAGGTAACCTCGAATACGCTGGAGTAGACATGTCAAATGTGGTGAAAGGCAACTGAGGTGCGAGCGTGGCACCCAAGGGAACCTCGTTGGGCCACAGACGTATGTAGCTGCAGCTCGTGTCAGCTGCCTGCAAAGGATCCCTTTGGTGACATATCCCCTCTACCTTCGTTGTACTCCCTCTTTATGTCAACGCACTGAGGGTGTTAAAGGCAGTGGATCGGCGAAATCGACCCTTGTCAGATTTTGATAGTGTTAGGTAATAGGCCTCCCATGTACACCGTAGCCCCAACTCCACCCTCCATTTCATGCGTTAAGTCTCAAAAAGCCGCTTCAAACATCCACCAATAACGCCCACTTAATGGAAGTGGGCGGGGCTGGTAGATTTTTGAACTTCTTTACAGGAATTAGCGATGATTTGGAGGGTGGAGTTGGAGTGCGGTGTACTTGGGCGGCCTATTACCTGGCACTACCAGAGCTGATGGAGGTCCAATTTGCCGTCCACTGCCTTTAAAGATTTGAGAAGGGTTGAGCAGCAGGTGTGGCACACGACCGCCTGATACGGCCCCCTACCTCTCCCCTCCACTCCCCCAGATTATCGCTTGCCTGTTGGCATGACATAAAGGCTGTCGTGCCGAGCCCCTCCTACCATGCATGATTAGTGACATTCTCGTAGTTCTCACGTCAAATAACCCCGTCAGATTTTGGGTCAAGATAAAGCGAAATTTGAGTTTCCAATATTGGACTACGCAAGTAAAGCCGTCATTAACATGGTTAACTTATTTCGAAGTAATTCAGGTAGTTCTTTTTGTGTTTGATAAAGAACAACACTTCTCCCTATTTGCTGATACCATGAATCCTGCTCCAAACAACTTTAACCTGTGGAGCTGGGAGCCAGCCGAAATCTCATCTGCTCCATTTTTCGCTTAAAGTGGTTGTGCTTCCAGCGACTGCTGCTCAAACGAAAGAAAGCAAATTCAGCTCTAATCATTTCTATAAAATCCACGGGATTTTTCTACCGAAGTATATGTACACAGGGTGTCCCAAAAATGTACACACTGTTTGATTGTAAATAACTCTCTTGTAGTGAAGTGTTTTGGAAAGCTTTAGGTACCATTTTGTAGAGCGAGGTTCTTAGATTTACGGTATAGAGCGAATCACCCATCTCTCTTCATTACTGCAGCATTACGGTAGAAACTTGAAACATGTGGTGTCAATGTGGAAAAAGCTGCCGTTTCAAAATTTTTCAAAAAAAAGGAAAGACTTGTGCAATAGGGTTTTTATGGACGCTGAGTTCAATACTCGACTATTCACAAGATTGCAAAGCTTTCTCAACGTGTAACCGCACTTTTTAGGAGCATTGAAAAAATGGCCGCTACCTCTTATCTGGCATAACTCTTCAAAGAAACATCATGCTAAGTTGCGGAACTTTACGTTAGAATCAGCAACCCCAATTAGCCTAGTGTAAAAGTTTTCAGGCTGTTTTTTTCCTCTTCTGAGGCAAAATCTGGCCTTTCATGGCTCAAAACCCTTTTTGAGATTTCCACGTAATCCTCCAGTAATGAAGAGAGATGGGTGACTCGCTCTATATTGTAAATCTAAGCTGAACCTCGCTCTACAAAATGGTACCTAAAGATCCCCGGAACACTTCATTACAAGAGAATTTACGTGAGTACATTTTTTGGGGCACCCTGTATATATATTTCGTTCGCTAAATTTCTCTTTGGAAGTAAGTTGATGGGGTGTGACACAACTCCAGAAAAGCTGTGGCTGCCACACCTTTTTAGGGGTAGTGTCACATCCCATTAACTTACCTTCAAAGCATTCAAGTATCCGTCCTTTTATGGTACACGTGAATCGCTAGGGAAGGTGGCAAGGATAAATGTACTCGATCGTAGCCTAAACCACATTTTCACAAAAGTGATTTGAGCCTAATTGGTCTTTTCTACTCTAAGATATTAGAAGACAAAAATGAGACAAGATTTGGCTCGCTCTTAATTTCATAGTTTAGAAGTTATTTTTAATAAAATTCCTAACGTGAGCAAAAAAGTATCAGTACTTTATTAAGTGCAAAAGAAGTAGTTACTCATTTTTAGAACGAAGTTAACAGTTTGAAAATGACCGCCTCATCCAATATCTGGAAACCTCAAAGTTCGCTGAAACTAGACCCACAGGAGTTCTTTGACATGCTAATTACGAAGTTGATGCTTTTATGCTTTTAGAGTTCTTTTATTATGCTTGCTGTACGCATACGATGGTGGGCCAGATCATCAATGTGCTGATATTTTGCATGATGGGCCTACTATCTGACATTCTTAACAAATAACATATTAGCGCTAACATCGACTTCGATAACAACACCCCCCCCCCCCCCCAGGTGCGGCGAGTCAGGCGTAACCTTGACCTGAGTGCTTGAAACCAAATTTCAAAGCACAAGTCAAGAAACTTCGAAACTTCTAAATGCTAAAAGATTGAACAAGGTTGGATCTTCGTGTACTCCAAAGATTCTTTTACCAAGTCAATTTTGAGGTATGGGCATCATTTCCTATACAGTACAACTGCAGATCTCTAGTCCTTTTTGCGTTTAAATTGTTCAAAAAAATAGTCAAAAGTTTTTCAGAGTTAAGTTTCGAACTTGCATTATCAACCAACCTAAAGTTCTTTCGATAAACAAACCCAGCATAGAAACCTCTCTCAATCTAATGTAGCATCCACCTAGCATAAGAATTTAAATTGCAATTTCTTAGATTTAGTTTTTTGACTTACAGCATAAGAGTTTATGAACACAGTGCGGAAGCTAAAAGAAAGAGGAGGAATTCGGATATTGCAGTAGATTCTTCATAGAATGCAAGGGCTGTAGTTATTGAAGCTTTGCTTTTTATGCATATGCTTAATTTCTATGCCCGCAAGCGCGAGCCTTCATAGCCGCATTAGCTTCTGTGGAGAGAATTTAGGACGGCATTGAAATTGAGCTGTCGACCTACCGATTTCAAAAACTGCATTTCCCCACTTATAGGCTGGAGAAGAAGAAAGAGCAAACAATCAACCTTCTGGAGTGGGACAAGGAGCTCAACCTAGCTGGCCTCAACCTGGCACTCAGGTAATGCGGAAAGATGGGGTTAAAAGACAAACAAAAATGCTCGAGAACTTTGTTTGTCAATCAGCACTAAGGTGCTTGTATAAGAACAAAAATAAATCGCTAGGTCCCCTTAAGGCGAGAAGAGGCGTTATTCTTCGACAGCGAATGGAAACGACAACCGATGAAAACGACATTTATTCGGATTGGTCTCACCGGGTACTTTTACCACAAAGAAGTACTATTGAACCCAGATTATCGAGTTAGAGTTGATCTTCTTCAATTTAATGTGGATGAACAAATTTTCAGAGTGTATCAGATGGTGAAATGGGAGGCACTGTAAGCAGTGTTGTGACGCATCTGTTTTTCTTTCTTGGCTCTTTTAAGATTTGCATGGCTTGAGCTCTTTACCTTCTGGGTGTGGTGGGATAGTCTCGATTCATCCTAAACGCTCTTTTTTAGGGTCAGCCTGAACCTGACGTCGGTGAGGGAGTTGAGGGCGCTCGACCGGATTGGCGTGAGTCAGATGCACAAAGTCAAGCAGTTCCGCAACGAGAAGACTATCCAGGATCTGCGCAGGACGCTCGCCCTTATCCAGACAGTGATGCTGGCCAACAACAACCCGGCTGGGACTCCGCAAATCGAGAGCGGCAAGGTGAAGCTGCGCCGGGAGAAGAACCACGGTAAACTGATGAATGAAACTTGCTTTGACACTGATTTGGAAGTTTTCCAAGTTGCCTTTTGTTTTCAGAGAGGAGGTGCGAGTTCGCTATATTAGACCACCTGTCATTGTGACGGATCAGCATGGTAGACGCTACCGAACAAAAACGGAAAATGGGTAGATGATTTTACAATGAATTTTACTCAGTCGGAGGAGATGTTTTTTCAGACAGACTTACTACTACGCCGAGGACCATGGGCAAGACGCGTCAGGAAGAAGGTATGGTTTAGTGTGCAATGCTATTAATTTCCAAATTTCTGAACAGTCCGTTTTGAGCAGACCAACAGATGAACGGCAGCAGCCCGATAAAAAGTGGCGCACATACCCTGAAGCAGTACATGATCAGACGCAGCAGTACGGAATTCCGGGACATCAGGGACAACAACCGCACTCACAAGATCAAGGACAACAGTCAGCTCAAGGAGAGCAGTCGATGCAACAGCAGCATGATCCGAGACAGCATCCAAGCCAAGAACATCGTGAAAGACAGCAACAAGCTGGACAAGAACAACCGCAAGATCCAAGACAATATCCAGGTCAGGAAGGTGCAAGACAACAGCACGATGTGCAGCAGCAGCAGCAAGACCCAAACCAGTATTCAGGTCAACAAGATCCAACACAGCGACAGGGTGAGAGAAGAGGACAACAGCAAGATTCAAGACACCCAGGTGATCCAAGACAACAGCAGAATAACATGCAGTCGCAGCAGCAAGATTCAAGACAGTATTCAGATCAGCAAGATCAGAGACAACAGCAGGGTGAAAGGTGGAACCAACAGCAGGACTTAAGACAGCACCCAAGTGACCCAAGGTCGCAACAGCAAGATCCAAGGCAGTATCGAGGTCAGCAAGATCAAAGACAACAGCAGGGGCGGGAGCAACAGCAGGACCCAAGACAGTACTCAGGTCAGGAAGATCCAAGACAGCAGCAGGATGATATGCAGTCGCAGCAGCAAGATTCAAGACAGTATTCAGGTCAACAAGAACGAACACAACAGCAGGTTGAGACGCGAGAACAACCGGAGGATTCAAGACGAGCAGATGAAAAAGATCGTTCAAGGAAACAAAATGGCGAAAAACAGGAACAACAGCAAGACTCAAGGTACACACAAGAGCAGCACGCAAGGCGACATCACGCGCATAGGCATCATCATCATCATCAAGAACCGAAACAAGGGCAAGAGCAGGACCCCAGACAGACGCAGCAAGATACGAGACAGTCGGCACAAGACGATCGTTCAAGGCAGCAGCAGAATTACAATCAGCCGCAACAGCAAGATGCACAACGGTATCCATCACAAGATGAACGTTCGAGACAAGAGCAAGACTATAGGCAGACGCAGCAGCAAGATTCGAGACAGTATTCACCACAGAATGAGCAATCAAGACAGGAACACGACTACCAAGCGCAACAGCACGGTTCAAGACAACATCCAGCATCTCAAGGGGAGCACATGAAGCAACATCAAGATCAAAGGTCACAGCAACAAGATTTGGGCCAGTATCCACCACAACGGGAGTCACAGAGGTAAGTCAGCTAAAAAGGAGAATGTGTATACGTTTGTCAGAAAATGTACGCAACTTTATATTTGCCCTCACCATCTGTAATCTGGTAGATAGCTACAAGCATGTTCCCAGCCATAAGCGACTATCTTGTTCACATAAATTTCTGCAGTATCTTGGAAATCAAAAGTATGATGCAGCTGCGAGTAGAGTTTATACAGTGTAAAGTCAGTCTTAGGATGACTTGCACAAGGGAGGGGGCGGGGGAAGGGGGGGGGGGGAGTGGGTGTGGAACTTTGGACCGAATTGAATAAATATTCGAGTGTTCGAATAAAGTATTCGAATAAAATTTATTCGAAATGCGATTATTTGAAAATTTCAAAGTCTCGAACATATTCGATACTCGCTTATTCGAAATTTGTCAATTTTGATTTATTCGATTATTCGGCTATTCGAAATTTTTGATTACCGAATATATTCGAACATTCGAATACCTATTTCCAATCGTTATTCAATTATTCGACATTTTCATGTAATCGAATATCTACATGACAGTCACATTTTGATTGCTACATCAGCAAATATCGCTTGTTGTTCAAGTTGCCCACTTCATTGTGCTATTTTGATTCAGATTTGTATGAACATTTTACATAATCGATGCAAAGTGATCGTTTATTTAATTTTTTGAATACATTCGATCATTTAGAATTTTATTTCGAAAATATTTGATACTAGCTGGCTTACCCGGCTCCGCCGTATGTTCCGAATAGAAAATTCCATTTCTTAACCGATGACCAAACTTGGCACACATACCCTTCGGGCCCCCACGGGGGTGATCAGCATGCTCGATTACCCCCCTGTGCCAAATCCCAGCCCCGTAGCTCAAACTTTGCAAAAAAATCGATAAAATCGATAAAAGTAATGCACGATTGCAAAAACTAATATTGTATTCGGAATCCCCATGCTCACTTACCCCCCTGTGCCAACTCCCAGCCCCGTAGCTCAAATTTTGGAAAAAATCGATAAAATCGATATCGATCGATGACGAAAAGTAGCCTATGACACCCGCCGGGGCCCGAAGTGTATGTGTGCCAAGTTTGGTCCCGATCGGTTCAGAAATGGAATTTTCTATTCGGAACATACGTACAGACAGACAGACAGACATACAGACAGACAAACAGACATTCAACTTTATATATAAGATGATTATTCGACAATTTTCGAATTTCAAGAATATTCGATATTCGATTATTCGGAATTTTTGGTTTTCGAAAATATTCGATATTCGGATATACGACATTTTTGTTTTCGAAAATATTCGAAATTCGATTATTCGATAATTTTGATTCGAATATATTCGATTATTCGATTATACTAAAAATTTCGAATATTCCAAAGTATAGTGTGGAGGATGTTAACGCATGCCGTTTTGAATCAAGAACAAATCAAGTCCTATGGTCGTAATCATCAATACACCTTAAGGTTGAAATCTACCTTAAGCTAATTCGAAATAAAATCTACCTTAAAGCAAGTCTTTTGGAATACGATCGTTGTAATTACGGTATGCAGTGATAATCTTCAAGGTAGAATTCAAACTCAAGCGTTGCTAAATACGGGTACTGATTTTATTCACACAAGGACAAAATATGCGTCCTCGCAACTACTTACCACCAAAATACTTCAATCTCTTTACTTGGTCTCTTGGTAGGAAGAATAAGACAACGACAGTACATAGTTTCCATTTCAATACTTGCTTGTTATCGCAGAACTTTTGAACGTGCTTTGCCTTTGCCGAGAGTAGAGACATTATTCTACGTCTTCGTGCCATTCATGGTTTTAACTGTTTTTCGAATCTTGATGTTGATGTGGGAACCGCCATCAGTCTGCACTATTGTTGACTGCAAACTGCTGCACTTACACTGAAATAGGGAATAGAACCACTGGAAATAAGTGGATTGAAATAATATTAGGTCGTTCCGAAAGTTCTTTCCGTTTTTTCAACCTATCATAAAAACACGTGGAATGAAGGAAGGAAAACGCTTCAGGCACTCTCTGACGCAGCTTTTCTTCCTCTTTTCAAGTGCCATATTCCTGTGCCGCTTGCTCTTGCGATCAGTGAGATAATGGCTGAAATTTCGAACCCATGGTTTTTACCATGTCCAACTTTGGCAATTTTTCAAAATCTTCTTTTTTGACTTTTGGAAAAGCTTTGATAGCCATCAGATAGAGTAAACAAAGTGCACTTTAATGCAATTTTTTGGCATTTATAGCTAGGCTCAAAAATTCTCTAGAATTATTTTTCTGGTGCTATCAAATTCCACTTTTGGGGATGCCAAAAGCCACAGAACATAAAAAGGCGCACAACTAAGGTGTCATTCGATGCAGCTTTTTCTCCTCTTTCTGATGAGTACTTTCTCTTATTAGTTTGTGGGGTCTTTGGCGATAAAATTTCCGTAAATCTTGATTTTGAACCCGCCTCATGATGTATCCGTGCAATGTAAAATCTTATATTTCGAAGCGGTAAACGCTCAGTTACTTTGTAAAAATAGTGTACAATCATAAACGACTTTTGAAAGTTTCGAAAACCGAAGATTTGTTGATGTTCAGAGCGTTTGTGTGTTCTGTGACTTCGAAAAAGTGAAGACTTCTGAAAAAGTTATCTAAAAAAATAATGAGAAGCCGGCTGAAATTGCCAAAAAAAATTCCATTGCATTGCACTTTGTTCACTCTATCTGACTGCTTTCATAGCTTCTCCAAAAGTTAAGAAAGAAGATAGTGAAAAATTGCCAAAGTTGGACATGGTAAAAACCATAGGTCCGAAATTTCGGCCATTATCTCACTGATCGCTAGAGCAAGCGGCACAGGAATATGACAGTTGAAAAGAGGAAGAAAAGTTGCGTCGGGCAGTCCTAAAGCGTTTCCCTATCTTTATTCCACGTGTTTTTATGATATGTTGAAAAAACGGAAGGAACTTTCGGAACGACCTAATAGTAAGAAGCATCGTGTCTTTTCCTGCAGCAGCCTGCTCAAAGAATATGTGATCAACTAACTTTCATCTCTCATTCGTAGTTCTTCCAATTACCTAGTTTTCTGAATTTCCTCAACTTATTTTAGGCATTACCCACGTAGGTCATGTCGGTACGGCGGGTACGTCCATTTTATGACACCTACGCAAGTAACCCACAACTAATAAACTAATAAGCACGAGTACTTAATGGAACATTAAACTTCGCTATTTTTAACGTATTAGCACATTGCAAGATTTGGGAAATTATGGGTGACACATTATCTAAAGTTATCCTAACTTAACTGTATATATGAGATGACCTCGTAGAATTTTATAGATCAATAGTAATTGAAAGGCACTCACATTCTTACATTCACTTTGAAAAAGTAGACTGAAATGCGTTTGTTTAAGTGACTACGAAGCACGAAGAAAGGCGTATTATGAGGAGTATACTAGATCGCTGGAACAGAGAAAGGTAAACTTTTTCAATGGACTATTGCGATACAAAATACATGAAGCATGTAATTACAGCAAGAAGCCCAACGTCGTCGAGCGGAAGAGGAAAGGCGTCGAGCTGAACTTGCCCGTCAAGGTTTGCAAACCAAACCCGCTTTTTGATTCTTGAAAACTAAATTCCTTGGATAACATTAATTCCACATTTTCAGGAGAACGACAAGAATATGACGAACGTGACTTGCCGCAGCTACTTAAACCAGAGGTAACCGAGTTTTTGAATTTTTCTTGCTCTTATTAGACGTCTTCTGCCTCAGTGACAAGTTTTTTGGACCTCATTTCTCATCATAAAACTCAATGATCTGATTACTTTTGCAGATGATTGTTTTTCAACCGTAACCTTGCATTTTGCTTTTCTAGGACCCCAGATTTTATCGATATCTAAGCATTTTGACTCCAGAACAACAGCGACGGTATCTGTAAGCATTTGCTGACAGATTTATGCTATTCGCAGATTCTAATCTGTGCTTGACAGATTCACGCTTCAGCTTCTAACAAGTGAATTTTGTTTGAAAAACTTACTAGTTCGTTTATCATAACAGCAAAATAACTTTACGCACTCTGATTTGCAAAGAACCTATGTATCTATTGCGATAAACAACATAAAGAAAGAAGTCTGATTAACTGGGCCTGCGTAGCGTATGCGGCATACGTTCTGGTTGAGCATGCTCAAGTGCGCAGTGTACGTTGCGCAGTATAGCCTAATCCTAAGCAGAAATATGCGTATATGCAATAGGAAGCCCTTTCCTGTTACGGCAAGGTTTCAAACTTTGTATTCAAATATTGGTTTGGTTTTTGATAGTTCGGCACCAGAGAAGCATTTCCGAAAAATCTCTTCCATCTCGCATCCCCTCAAGTTACCAAGATTTAGATGCACCCTACTCCACAAAAGAATGATTTGAATCGTTGCCAAATTGCAGTGCAGACAAAATTGCGCTCAAAAAAAGTATGACACAAAGCTTTTCAATGTGTGCTCCATGGTCATTTTTCCGGCGCTCGCGTTGTCGGCACTGCAGAAATTGTGTATTAACAAGAATCTACTGAACTGCTATTTACTACCTTTCGCATATCATACTTGCATACGTAATCAAAAGGATATTCATTATGTTAGTCGCATGTTGTCAACGTAAGCTTTTGTTTAACCATATAATGAGCTATCTGGAGCAGTCGATGAAGGCTTTCTTTCCTAAAACTCTAAAAACTTAGCATAGTTTTGCTTTGTCAAACGTGCGCAAATTGGGTGTGCTCCCTGAGATTTCAGCATAAGTTCGCTTATTTCACAAATTGCTCGTTTTCACCATGATATTTACAACTACACAACCTCCAAACCGTTTCTTTTCTCTAACCTCGTCTTTTTACTGTATAAAATCATCGTGACCGGTGTTTTGTCAAAATGCGAAGGATATTTGGTGAGAGCGAAAATTAAATTTTTTGCGAAATTTTTATCTATAATCAGCTGATGTATAACGAATACTCTTTTTCACTTCTCTTAACGATCGTGTAATTATGTGTCCGTGGAGTGCGTCAAGCTTCGCTTAGCCAACTTTTGAGCGCAACCAGCTGCCGTTGTAACTTGTCTATGTCTGCTTTGAGAGAATCACTCTATATATTCATATGAACAAAACTTATTGGAAATATTTCAGATTCAGATCCCGGAAGCCGATCCGCCGTTTGAACCGCAGGCCGAGATGAATGAAAGCGGCGAGGTGTCACAATACCCTGCGTGAGTTTCCTAACTGATAAGCAGTAACTCAATTTAAAAAATTTGTAGTTACTTGGGTGATTCAATAGCAATCACAAATCTAGTCTGGAGCGCACGGAAACTGCAAGAACGAGCTTAAACAGTGTTTGTGTGAAAAATTTCAAATTTCCACAACATCCCTCCCAGAAGCGCTTTGCAGATACCAGAAGCAAATTTGAAATTAGCGTTACGCGCTTTATAAGACTGTATACCTTCATAGGAAGCGCCACTTCGACCAAACACCCTTCCCTTGTAAGAGAAATCGGAAACTTAGTTGAGCTCAGCAAAACTAGATTGCGTGAGCCGACTTGGAAACAACGTTTCCTGCTAAATTCCGTGCTGCATAACCTGATGAAGATATTGGGAGGGGACAGCCTCTTACACCAAAGTTCCAGAATTTTCAGGTCTGCCGAGTCACCGCCTTCAATCATTGGAAATTAGCCTTTTTCTCAATATCCAGCGATGTCTCGTTTTTCAGACGCCTTCCTCCTCCACGTCCACTTTTAAAGGAAGAATTGGAAAACGACGATCAATGATTGCTTTTTTATATCTGTATTCATTAGCTAATTGCCTACGTATTCTCAAAATCGACCACATTGTTTGCATTTACGCGCCGTATCCCTCCTACTGCCTTACGAGTTTTACTGCCTTACTGCTGATTATATGTACTCCATATTTTTCACCTTATAAGGTGTTTCAGAAGCGGTCTTCTCAAGCATTCATGGTTATTTCTCTTTATATTACATATCAGTATGTTATTACTGCCGCCATGGTATAGTGCGTGTATTTTGTAGGATAAAGAAAATATTGCTTGTTGCATTTTGACTCAACATAATAAGGTAAGGCTGTGCACGAAAATGAAGGGGAAGTATAGGGCTCGCGGGAGCTCGAAAGTGAAGGTTTGCGGTTACTGCTCTGCGTGCCACCAATCTGCTGAAGTCAATGAAGTGTTAACAATCCGAGTTTCTTCTTTTGTTTACGTTTTACGCGTTTTTTCGTTTTCAGGTGGTAAATGGGTTTCACATTTTGAAAACTAATCAGCTCCGAGCCGATAGCGGCTTACCATCTGCGACGTTATGCATGCGCGGCGCCATGGCCGCAAACCTCACCGGCCGCAAACCTCACCGCAAACCTCACCAGATCGTTTGTCGCTAATAACTCCCTTGCCATGAAGTTATTAGTAAGGATTTAGATACCATCTCGTAGATGGCTTTAACTTGGGTTTACAGTATGAAGCAAACCACCGATCGCTTTTCGTTACTGTCCATTACGGTAGGGACTTTGAAAGGGGTTTGAGACATGGAGGGCCATGTTGCCATATGTTGTCAAAGGAAAGAAAACGTCCTAAAAATTCTCGCACTAAGCTAGTTATTCTGATCCTAATAATGAAGTGTGCATCTCAACACAATGCTTCCTTGAAAATTCATATCAAGTAAGCAGAAGTAGCTGTTTTCCGATGCTTCTAAGAAACGTTGGTACCGTTTAGAAAATTTCACGAGTACAAAGTCAAGTATTGAATACAGCATCCATGAAAACCTTATTACACAAGTTCTTTCCTAGTGGCGCCAAATGCCAGAAGCTGTTAATGTAATCCTACAGTTAGAGAGCGATCAACGATTCGCTCCATACTGCAAATCTGTCAAGGGAACGGTCAGAAATCGAAGTGGCCAAATCAAGGCTGCATACGATTTGATTCAGCACGAAACGCTGATTTCGAATCTGTCCTTCTTATCTGTTCATCGTTTTTGTGGACGAGGCTCTAAGCAATTTTGTTGCGGGAGAAACCTACATAAAAACTGCGAAATTGAGCACATAATTACCCTCCCAGCTCATCTCTAGGTATGGGCCATACGAAGTAACCTGGCTGCATGTTTCAGCCTAGCACCAAGACGAGCGTGGATCTGTACGGGCAAGTTTTTGCTTTCACGCATAATTTCTTAATAAAATAATAGCATTCAATGGCTTATGGCTTCATCCACAAAAGCGATGAGCAGATAAGGAAGACAATTAGAATCAGCGTGTTATGCTGCATCTAATGGTTTGCAGCTCTCTCGAATTGGCCACTTCGATTTCTGACCACATTTGTAAGGGTGCCTTCATACCCCGCCGGCGGCCGCCGCTAGCAGCTCGTAACATTCCGTAGCAGCCGCCAGCAGCCCGAGCAGCCCGTAGCAGCCCCACAGCCCTAGCCGCCGCTGGCCGCTTTTGTCATAGAAGCGCAAAATCATCAGATTCTTACTACTTTGAGTGCACCCGCCCACGCTTTTAATCTTCCAAACTTTTTGATGAAGCAAAGGGAGGGTAATAAGGTTTCAAACCAATGGCACTCTACATGCTTAGAAAATGTAGCTAATCTTCAATCACCTCCTTGAAAGCCCTTATTACCATTCTCTTCTACCCACCTCTCCCCCCCCCCCCTCTCCACTTAAAAAACCAGAATCGCCTAAGCTATCTTAGTGCTCATGCAGGGATATTGAAGCCTTACTTTGAACTGATCGTCGTTTCCGAAGCAGCGAGAAAATGCTATAATCCTGCGGTTCACCATTTGCCCTGTCACTGCTATGCATATCATGGCGATGATATGCGAAAGCCATATAGCCTTTACAGCATTCGCCACAAACTGGGCAAGAAAGCACCGGAATATCAGCACTAGCGGACCCTTGACAAGTTACGGCTGTTTTCAACTCACTGAATTCGATATTATCTGAGAGTTTATGTACAACTCCGGATGTGAAAACAAATTCTTGCAGAGCGTGATCTTCGTGCACTTTGGGCAATCCGACAGCTTCGGGGACGACGATGACATGATGAATGAAATTAGCTTAGGAAACTGTCGCGTAATTTCAAACAGATCTTATGTTCGGTTGGTCGTAAGAGGCCGGTTGAACAGAATCGGTTAACTTAAAGGCTTAGATTACTCCACGACAAAACATCAATTATGATTTCCATACTGATTTGGCCAAACTTGGAACTTCGTTCCGGATATCGATAAGAATAAGGGAAAACTTACTTTTGCGGAAAGAATAGTCGAAGCAGCCCTCAAGACGACCATAGAAAGGCGACCATAAAAACACTACATTTGAGAAGTTCCAACTCCTGAAACAATCTACGCACCAATGCACAACTTCCAAAACTAAAGGGATTACTTTTTACGTCTTCTTGGGAGAGACGGTTGCAAGTGAGAGCAAAATGACGAGTGTACAGACTGAAAACACCATTCTCGTTGTAAGCATGAGCGATAGAAAGCACATATTAATGAGGAAATCCAGCAAGATCGCGACTGATGAAGAAAGGCGAAAGAAACTGTGCAGTCCATTTCGCAAAGTATGAATATTGCAAGTGAGATTCATAAAAAAATTTACCAGTGCATAGAGAAAACTACACACAAATGATGTGAACATGAGATCCAATAGATTTACACGCAGAAAAGGCATCACAGTTGTAGTGAAAGATAAGCCAAATCGGACCATCAACACAAAAACATCCTAGTGGATGGGTGATCCAAGAAGCGATACAAAATCAGTTTGAAGGAAAACGATGCAGTGTCAATGCTACCAAACACATTTACAGACTGTCACGAAAACCGTCAATCTTGCTAATAAGAAACCGAAAATCACATAATGAGCTGATTGAGCATACAAATCCACAAAGTCGGCTGCGCACGCGGCATACGTGACCTAATGATAAAGGCTGCGCGCGCGACGCGACCGCCCTCGCAGCTGACTGTGTAGATTTAAATGGGCCAGCAGTATGCTGTCCCGAGAGTGGACAGCGGCATGTGAGTGACTTATTTGAGCAGCGTCAACGGTAAATTGACCCAAAGTAAAGTGGCTAAAATTATGCATGCTATGAAAAGTAGTAGTGAAAAGTACTAAAAGTAGTAGGAAAAAAGCACTAAAAGTGCAAAGTACTAAGAATTAGTAGGAAGTGATCCTTACCTCTCAAAGTGCTCCATTATCGAAAGCAAGAATGGCATGGCAATAGTAAGCCAATGGTTAATCCTGTTACGATCAAAAATGGCAGCCAACAAAAAAGTGACTGACGACAAATCTAAAATGCGTTAGTTAGTAGACAGCCGCACTTGAGGATGAGCAAGAACTTCTAGAAAGCATGTATTGTGACAAAATTTCCGTCAAAGAGGGGGATAACAAATGGAATGAAGAAATTGCTGAAGTCATTAGCAGCAATGTAAACCAATTAGCAGAAAAAAGCCTACTATGCTTACTCAATTTCAAAAAATCCAGATGTAATCGTCAATAAGGCTGACAGTGCTTTGTAAATCGCAGGATTAGGAGTCGCTATTCCCTACAGAGCAATTACAAGTAGTCGTGCTCTAAAAATACCGAATTTGTCCATCCAGAAAAAGAATGGCATATTACCAGCATACCTTGATCATATCGCCACTTCTGCTGCATAAAGAGCGGTTCATAATTATATGAACACCCCAAATTTTAGAAGTTTCTGGACTTTTTGGAAGGAACTCAGAAAGCCGTTAGTAGCATGTGAAAGAGCACAGCCGAAAACGGTATATGGCCCAGAAGAATAGGAATCGATGTCAATCTTAGGAGTGTTTTTGTGACTGATGCGAATTTTTAGCGGTTCATACTTATATGAACACCTCAAACAAAGGTCCATTTTTCATTCAAGATGCAATCTTTCGCGTCCAAATCTTTTGTAGAGTTACAGTAACAGAGTCTGAAATATCTGCTACACACTGAACCCACTGCAGTTCAGAAAGGAAAGGGTTACTTTTTTTAGATCGCTCTAAATGATTTTGGAGCCGTTGCGCTCTTAAAACGTCTGTTCTTCTGTGGTTTGCGCACTCTAATCAGCTTCTACTAAGGCTATGAGATAAAATAAGCTGTTTCGATAAATATTTTGTTTGACGCTTGGAAAATCCTTGCGTTTTCGTGGTTCCAACCTTACTCTAGATTTAGTACAATTTCGAGCATCAAAACTCAGCTTCTGAAGCCCTGCAATAAAGTAAGCACATAGTATGTAGAAGTTCACAAGACTGTGTATTGGCTAGAAAAAATAGCAGCGTTGAGCCTTTGTTTTGGCCACGCAAGCGTCATTTCACCGAAACCACTGTTTTACTATTGCAATCACACCTTTATTTGGTTTTGCCTCCATAGCTTCACGAGTAGTTCTGCAAAAAACCCAAAAACTTTGGCACAGATACATCATCATGCGAACAATGCAGCTGCTTCATATCAAATGTTTGCGTGGGAGAGAAGCTGAGTTTTGAGGCTCGAAATTGTGCTAACCCTGAGGTTATGTTGGAACTTGGCTGGAAAAAAGGCACGAAAATGCAAAGATTTTTCAAGTGCCAAGAAAAATATCTATCGAATTAGCTTATTTTATCTCATAACCTTGGTAGAAGCTGATTAAAGTGCTTAAATCACAGGAGAACAGACGGTTTTGGAGCGCAGCGACTCCAAAATCATTTAGAGCGATCTGAAAAAAAGTAACCCTTTTCTTTTTGAACTGCAGTGGGTTCAGTGTGTAGCAGATAATTCAGACTCTGTTACTGTAACTCTAAAATTTGGACGCAAAAGATTGCAATCTTGAATGAAAAATGGACCTTTGTTTGAGATGTCCATATAATTATGAACCGCTAAAAATTCGCATCGCAAAAACACGCCTAAGATTGACATCGATTCCTATTCTTCTGGGCCATATACCGTTTTCGGCTGCGCTCTTTCATGTGGTACCAACGGCTTTCTGAGTTTCTTCCAAAAAGTCCAAAACTTCTAAAATTTGGGGTG